TGGTGGTAGGACCTCTTGTGAGTCCGCGCGGGTAGGTACCACCGCCCCGCCTATTTCTGACGTGAAGCAGCAATGTGTTTCAGTTTGAAGGGTGGGGGCAGCCGTTTTAACTATACTGAGACTTTAAAACTTATTTCTCAAGGTGGGTGGCGCATTTACGTTGTAGATGTCTATGGGCTCCAGTAACCACTTAACACCAGGTGGGCTATGAGCTCGTCCAACAGTCTAAGCAATAAAAAAAATATAAGTGTTTTGAATTGAAGGATAGAATGGTCGTGACTTTTCGACCTCATGCCTATAGATGGGAATGAGGCTGCGTATGAACCGTGACCTCGTATCTAGGGTAATAAAAAAGAAAGTTATAATGCGCTTCAACTTAGAATTTATCAATGAATGTTGTGATTAAAAAGCCGTACGTACATTTTTCTTTGGCAAAATTACAGAATAAGATTACTTATTTTCCTTAATTTCAATACTTTACTTTGGAAGTCTTCGTGGCCTAAAGCTTATGACGTCCGGTGCATTCGTATCTTGCGAGGCACCGGTATCCGATCCCGCAGGCAAGTACCAATTTTTCTAATGAAATACGTACTTAACAAATGTTCACAATTGACTTCCACGGTGAAGGAATAACATCGTGTAATAAAAATCAAACCCGCAAAATTATAATTTGCATAATTGCTGGTGGTAGGACGTCTTGTGAGTCCGCACGGGTAGGTACCACCACCTTTCTATTTATGCCGTGAAGCAGTAATGCAGTTTCGGTTTGAAGGGTGGGGCAGCCGTGGTATTGTAAAAAACTGAGACCTTAGAAATCATATCTCAAGGTAGGTAGAGGCATTTAAGCTGTAGATGTGTATGGGCTCCGATAACCACTCAACATCAGGTGAGCCGTCGTCTACCCACCTAAGCGAAAAAAAAACTCTTATATCATTGAAGTACCTACATATGTTTTTTTTTTCTTTTCTTCAATATGGTGATCAAACTTCATTCGTAAGCTTATTTTAGCCAGAGTCGAGTCAACCAGAGGCGACATGAGTGACTTAATCTTGAAGTGTCAAGTGGCCATGATATTCCAATGTAGAAGGGATAGGAGCAGGGACTTTAGAAATAGGCAGTATAGGAGGAACTAGAGCGATATATACATATAGTAAAATATAGTATTGTAAAGAAGAAAAAGATATAATCGACGCTTGAAAGGCAAACGTGACTAAGCGACAATAACTGATTTGTACATAAATGATAAGCAATAACCATATTCGATGCGCAAAAAAAATATATTTCTAGGTCTATTAAAATCATTTCGATCCTACAGCTAGATACGTTAAAATAGAATGTTTTTCAGGTATTTCTCATGTACCTATATTTTAAATTAATTTCAACTTTAAATTAGTCTACTGTAAAGTTCACGCATTGTCGCTTAGTCACTTTTGCCTTTCAAGCTTCGTATTAAAATATTATGAAAGGTTAGAAAAGAAATAAGAGCTTTAGTATATTTGGAGTCAACAAATTAAAGTATAGTGTAAGAGTCACAAGGGTGAGGAACCTACATGTTGTACTTGTCTTACTGATATTATTTTGTTTCGAACTGACGCACAGCCAAGGCAAAACGGTCGATTTGTCACGCGCATTCACTCTCAACCTGGTCGCGATAAAAACTCTTCAAACTGCAATTAGCTAATGTCTAGACGGTTTTATCTCCAGGCGATATCTTCGGCGTATGTTTACGTTGAGTCGACAAGAGAACTATGCGAAATACCTCATGGTCCTGTTGGTTATGTTAGTTTTAATAAGTGTTTACTTTTCGATTCTTCGCGGCTACGTCTACGTCTACATCTATTAATCACGACTAATAATAAATATCGCTCGGAGATTTCCAAAACTCCCACCTGTCAGTACCGTGATTTATTTGTTAATTAATTGTTTCTAATAAAGTCATAAACAATGGTTGGCTAGATTGCAGTATGTTATTCATAATATTTGAAATCGATACGATTTAAGTTTTTTTTATTAATTACCCACCCGTGGTTGGCAGTACACACAAAAGTAATTCATGCTTTTTGACGACGTTGGCAAAACGAATATTTGTCGAGACTTGATAATGGATAAATGGCTGAAGAAAGAGGATGAATTTATAATCGTTAAATAGTTTTGATCAAAACACATAGTTCGGCACTAGGAAAACGGTTATTCGGTCAGTTCGGTCACATGTTGACAAGCATCCTGATTACTGTATATTATATATAGTAGGCACCTAAGAAAAATGGTGGATCTATTATTAAAAGAATTGTAATAAAACTGTATTCTTTACTAATTTATACTTAGAAAAAAATTATTTATCTTGAAGCTTTATAGCCCCTTTGACAGGCGGTATGTTTAATTTTATTTGTATATGCTAGTTATTTCCATGTTAAATGTTACTGGTGGTAGGACCTCTTGTGAGTCGGCGCGGGTAGGTACCACCACCCTGCCTATTTCTGCCATGAAGCAGAAATGCGTTTCGGCTTGAAGGGTGGGGCAGCCGTTGTAACTATACTTGAGACCTTAGAACTTATATCTCGAGGTGGGTGGCGCATTTACGTCGTAGATATCTATGGGCTCCAGTAGCCACTTAACACCAGGTGGGCTGTGAGCTCGTCCACCCATCTAAAGCAACAAAAAAAGAAAGTCATTTTTTTTATTATTTTATATTTATTTTATTGGACGTGGTCATAGTAAGTGCTACACAAGCCACCCTTCTTTCATTTTTAATATCAAGTCAATCAAAACTCAACATATTGTTTTAATTTTTTTTTCATTCAAATTTTATTTCATTTAAACACCTTAGTTGTCCGTAAGGTAAACTATTTGAAACGTCACAAATAATAGAATGAAAATAGAAAACACGAGATTAAACCGTAAATGAGTCGACTATTATCAAAGCCGGCAATCTGACTTTTGGACAATGATTGGTAAATCAGAAAAACGAATTATTGACTTTGTATTCCATTGGCAGTCACAAAACTCTTCGGAACGACATCTTAGATAAATAACAGGTTAACTATTAACCTTTATTTAATGCAGGTTTTGAACCGTATTCTTTGAAGGAGACGATTNTGACTTTGTATTCCATTGGCAGTCACAAAACTCTTCGGAACGACATCTTAGATAAATAACAGGTTAACTATTAACCTTTATTTAATGCAGGTTTTGAACCGTATTCTTTGAAGGAGACGATTATATTCAAATCAATCTGTATTGACATATCAATAAAATTTTTTTGTCCAAATGCACAGATTGCCACCTTTGATAATAGACGACTCAAATGTAGTTTTAATTATGGCTATGACTCGCGGAAATCGAAGAAAATGCTATAACAAAAAAAGAAATCAAAATCGGTTGCCTCAAAAAAAGATTTTAGGGAAAATACATTTGATTGGAGAACCTCTTTTTTGTTATCGGTTAAAACATAATAAAACAATCGTTTTGGCATCAACTGAATGATTTATTTTCAAGAGGTTGATTCTTGGCGCCTTCGCAGGTAGCGGTATATTCGCACGTCAAGTATCACAGATAAGAGCTCTTGTACAAAGTCACCAGTCGCCAGCCGCCCTCCGGTCGGGACACTTGACGCCGAACCTTCAAGTTAATATTTTTGGAAACGACCTTCATTTGTGAAAGCGGAATACTGAAATAAACATACATATTATATGTGAAATATTTAGAATTGATTCTTCAAGTCTATGACGAGTGAGAGCTTTTCCATCGAACACTTTCGAAACATCCACTCTTTCTATTAATCAGTCCAAAAATATTTCAAAATATAATAATTATGTTGTTAGTTTAATTATTACGTATCTCAGACGTGCAGATTAACAATAAAATACAAAAATTTATGCAAACGACACAATATTCGTGAAAACTTGTTCCATGCCTTCGATTTTTTTTTTAATAAATTCTTGTTTTAAATACCGGCATCATTTTTTTTAAGTGTGATGAGAAACTGACTTTATTATTGGTTTAAGGATTAAGTCCCAATACCGTTTTTTCGTACCGTTCGGGCCTTTATAATTGTTGCGTATCAGAAAAATGCAGAACGGCGACACCGCTCGAGATTTTTTTTAAAACTTATGTCTTGATAGGCTATTTCAGCTTCACCCTAACGTGTGTAGGTGAGTTCATGGGGCTCAAACCGGAGAGTTGCTAACACTGCCCCTAGCAAGAGCAGAGCTTCGCAGAATCTACCACCGGATCGGAAACGCGACCCACAGAAGATCCGGCGAGAAACTCAGTGGGCTAAAATATAGTGAGTTCCTGATCGTACACTTATAGTGTAATCTGACAGGCTATTCGGTGGTATGTTCTCTACACATCTAGCAGCTGTTAAAAATATAGCGGCAATATACATTCCTTAATTAGCTTCTCTGTGGGTCGTGATTACGGTCCGGTGGTAGATGCACACGCGAAGCAGCTGCTCTTGAGCTGCTAAGCCTACGTTGAGTTCGCTCATCTCTCAGGCAGCAAGTTCCCTCGATGAGCTGCGATCCTTCCATCTTAAAAGAATATTCGGTGCCACCATCTTACCTATATCTCCTGAGATTGATGCATTTAAGTCTGAAGGACTGAACAAAGTCACTAGGACTTCCATCTTCTTTAAAGACTAATGTTTCAGAATAAATTTGGTATTTAGAGCGCATCTGCTCGATGAAAACGATTGACGAAAACATATTCTTTGTAAAGTTGCACATCGGAGTTGTACCAATCGGCCTATACTTAGATTTTTATAGATAGATTTTTCATTAAACCTACATGCAAAAGAGGCGCTAAAATCGGGAAGGATGCGGACAGCTCTTTCAAAATACAAACTCTGGTGAACCGTGTCGGTACTCTTCTTAATATCTATGTTATATGTCACATTTTTGATTAAACAAGGACACATTTTTGAACAAAATCCTTTCTTATATCTGTTATTTTCTCATCTCGTCCACGGTGCAATGATGACCTGTACCTGCTTGTTACAGATGGTACTTACTTCAATGCATAAGTATTGTCCTCGGGTCCTGGTTGTGCGCGCACGAGATGCAGCAGCGCTGGCGTGGGGTGCTCCTCATGCAGCCTTCTCCTTCCCTGAGACTGAGTTCATCGCCGTCACTGCTTATCAGGTTTGTATTTAACCACTATTTATTTTTACTAAAACACATGACGTAACGGCAGAGTGATTATCGGAACCTGTAGACATCACAGCACGAATACCACCACCTGACTAAAACCTACTGTCGCTCAACAACCAACGTCCAAACATCGCATGAGACAGAACTCATAAAAAGGCAAAGGGGGGAAAGTGAAGCGTTTAGTGCGGAGCACATCTCCCCCATCACCCTACTCCTTGGGACGCCGGACCGGCGGTCGTCGGCGCCACGACTACCAGCCTTTTCGGTTGGTAGGCTATCCGAATCCCGCCTAGATGGCGCCGGTTAGAGTGAGCTATCCTACGGAAGGGAGCTATTCTACGCAACGAATACCACCACCAACCCAATTCTTATTATTACAACTGGGTAGAATGACGATGCCTACTGGCGCAACCGCAAAATATGCTCTGCCAGCAGGAAAAGTCTCCATTATCATATGACTTATACTACTTATACTGCCTCTCAAAATCTATTTTAAAAACTTTTATTCTAAAACTATCATTTTCTATTGAGAGTAAAATATGAAAACAAACAAACAAAAGTTTTATACATACAGGGACTCTAAGATTTTGGTTCGTTTGTAAATATCGCGAATTTACTAAAACTTAGTAGTTATTAGTTTTTATTTCAAATAATATTGTGCATTTTTTAGATTACTACGGTAACAGAGTAAAGATGTAGGGAATCCGTCTTCATATTATCATCTTATAACATCACGTTAGTTCTCTGAAATCGTAGTACGTTTCCAAGAACACGCGTAATTCGCATCGCACACTGATGTTAGCCGATTTTTTTTTCAAACAGACAAACGAGGCGCCAATGCTTTTACGAAAGTGTAGTTACAAAAAAATGTTAAGAGAATCGGGCGGGTGAGTCGAGTGGTCATTGTGGAGGGCTATTTAGCAAAACANCATCTTATAACATCACGTTAGTTCTCTGAAATCGTAGTACGTTTCCAAGAACACGCGTAATTCGCATCGCACACTGATGTTAGCCGATTTTTTTTTCAAACAGACAAACGAGGCGCCAATGCTTTTACGAAAGTGTAGTTACAAAAAAATGTTAAGAGAATCGGGCGGGTGAGTCGAGTGGTCATTGTGGAGGGCTATTTAGCAAAACAATACAGAGTAGTTTGGTGATTTTTTTCAAACAAACCGTTACGTTGTTTGATTATTAGTTAGGCGATGGCGGTGCTACTAACTACGGCACTTAATGCATTTAATCTTTTTCATGAACTAAACTATTGAACACACTTTTATTTCGAAGTTTTCAATTCCATTAGGCGCATTGAACATGTGTTTTTTTTTATTATTATTTTTATTGCTTAGGTAGGCGGACGAGCTCACAGCCCACCTGGTATTAAGTGGTTACTGGAGCCCATAGACATCTACAACGTAAATGCGCCACCCACCTTGAGATATAAGTTCTAAGGTCTCAGTATAGTTACAACGACTGCCCCGCCCTTTAAACCAAAACGCATTACTGCTTCACGACAGAAATAGGCAGGGTACCTACCCGTGCGGACTCACAAGAGGACCTACAACCAGTAATTACGCAAATTATAATATGTGTGTTATAATTTATTCATGTAACCTACACACTATATTTGCTTTACCTTTAAAACGTGTTAACATATGACAGTGTTAATTCGATCATCTATGTACACATTCACATAACCAAGTCTCTGAAGACGCCCTCCTGCTGTTTGTTTTGCGACATCTAAACGGCTCTTTGACAATCGGCGCAGCGTACAGTTACCATTATGGATTATACCTCGCCGTAATTAAAAGATGCGATGTCGGCCCCTTTACCGCAGCGGCGTCCTTCATGTTGACTGCATCGAGGCGCGAAAGTTTTCTCGCATCTATTACATCGGAAGCTTTGTAGGATTATCTGTGTATTGTTGAGGTAACGGGAATAATGTCTGGACAAAGTCCGGCGGCGTATCATTGCGCATTATCCCCAAGGTGGCGACCGCTCCTCGTTGCGACTATTGTTATCAATTACCAACGATTTAGAAAATATCTTTTGTAAACGCCGACGCGATTATTTGAGAGTGTAACTAGGTGGCACGCCAGCTCAATTATTTACCCAAAATAGCAGTTTGCAATATCTCTGCAAACTTTCAATTAGTAAAATGATTGCCTACTTAAGTTCCACATAGTTTGGCTGGTTCGACTTGATAATTTGGGCAAATTTCAAACGTAAATAAACCGAATTTTTGCCTATCCTAATTATACATTGTAAAAAACTGGCGACAGTCACCAATATGTGAAATTATCGGACAAAAAGTAAAAGCTACGGCGAGTTTGAGGCGTGACGTCACGGGCGACAGGCGAACAGGGGGCGGCGCTCGTCGCTTCTAACCTCGTGCTGTAGCTAGCCGTCCAACTTAAAACTATACTTTACGGAACTTATACCAGGCTTTTAGCACTCTCTGCTATCTCGGTGGGCTTTCCGTTATCTGTCGATACGGTGTGCAAATGGCACCCGCCGGCGCCGGCTTATCACTCCCCGCAAACACTCGTTTACAAGTGACTTTGCGTACCCATCGGGTCGGTATTATTTGCTTTAGGGATTTTGCTAGATAACGTAAATCTTTCGAATGCATTTCTGAAACCTAATAACAAAAATCACCGTTAATAGCACCGTTCATAACACGCAAATTGTCGTGATCTTCGTCTGCCGAGTTTGTAGTATCGTGTTTCACGTCACGGCTTTGGTTCAGAAGTAGTCTGATGCCGTTCGTTGGCGCCGGGACGGAGGAGAGATCGACGGCGGGCGACCGGCGCCGGCGACGGCTATGCATGCCATGCTAATTGGCCTGTCGCCAACTTGTACCACGACACATGTGCAGCAATTATCCCTTACAAGCTATTAGCGACACGGAGGATGTATGCGGAAACGGATGTTTAAATTGCATTCTCAGAACTCGTGACAGATAAGAAAATTTCCTTGTCGCCACGAATGCGACATTTAATTGACGGGAAATAAAAAAATATATTGTTTCTTTTTAGGTTTTATGAGTTTTATTAATAGAGGGAAGAATAGGGGCAATTCTAAACATCCATTCATATGATTTTGCCTTGACGATTTTCGTCATAGAGGGGGAGAGAGAGAGAGAGAGAGAAATTTTCGTTATAGGTACCTACTTAAAGTTTAATTGACCTTGTAACTAAATTAAGTTTAGGTACTAAATTTACTTAATCATTAACTTGAAAAAATTTGATGAATAACTTCATATTTTTCGGTATACAAAGCAATGGCCGGACAATTTGAAATAAATTTAAAGTGTGTAAATTTATAAGTATACTGGCATACATAGTTACAATTAATATTTTATGTTTACACTTCAGTTGTAGGGCGTATTGTGAGCTTGCATGGCACACACTCACACGACACACTATTGCACTGTTTCCGTATATAGCCCTGTTTTTCTAGGACATCCGTATATATATATTTTTTAATACGATATAATTATTCTTATATGTTTGATTAAAGATAAAATTGTATTGTTCACAGAATGACCGAATAACGAAACTGAAGATAGATAACAATCCATTTGCAAAAGGATTCAGAGCCTGTGGTCAATCCAAGTGCAAAAGAAAGAGCATTGAGAGTGCTAATGAAAACAGTTCAGAGCCACCTGGCGGTGAGGCGAGTGAACCTAAGCGACCTTGTTCCGATGCTGCTTCTTCGTGTTCAGAAGAAGGCAGTCTACGGTCGTCTTCGCCACGATCACCTCCCCTAGTGGAATCGCCTACACCTCTCATTGCTCCGCCAGAAAACATAAGTCCTCCACCTGCGGCGTTCTACCACCCAGAGTTGCCATACTTAGGGTCCATGCATTTACCTATGCCGTTAGGCTTGTGGCCTGGTAGTGCTATGAGCAATGGCCTCACTTGGGGTCCTATAGCNGAAGGCAGTCTACGGTCGTCTTCGCCACGATCACCTCCCCTAGTGGAATCGCCTACACCTCTCATTGCTCCGCCAGAAAACATAAGTCCTCCACCTGCGGCGTTCTACCACCCAGAGTTGCCATACTTAGGGTCCATGCATTTACCTATGCCGTTAGGCTTGTGGCCTGGTAGTGCTATGAGCAATGGCCTCACTTGGGGTCCTATAGCACCTCCTCCTCCACCACACGTACCTTCACCAAAAGTGGCAGACCCAGCGCCTTGTCGTCGCCTGAAAAGTTTCACAATAAGCGCACTACTAGGAGAGGGTTGATTATTAAATAAGATACATTGTAAAGTTTATTTTGTATGAAACACATTTTAAAGGGTACTATTTCGTATGGCCACCTGCTGTTTGGCAGCTTTGGTAGATTTACCAGCTTAATTAATAAACAAAAATATATTGTTTATACCTACGCTAGTAGATAAGAATTAGGCGGGAAGTCGCAATAATGTCACTGTAAACTATTAAGAAATTCTCAATTTGTTGTAATTAATATAATTATCTAAACATAAGACAAACTACCTCGTTTTAGAAAAATACTATTTATGTGATAGCAGTGCCTTATAAATATATGTAAATAGGAAGTATGTTCACTATAAAAATGATCTTGATTAAAAGCGCTTTAATACAGTGTTTATTATTATTTAAATTTTACATTCTATGATGTTTCAAATACTTAAGTTTTCGTTCTCTATAGCATATTTGTGAAATTTGCCGTTAATGTACATAGTTCCGAATATCATTTCGGTAAAATCCCGAAACAGGAATTAATTTTATCTCAAAACTTATTTTTAATTTTTAAACCAATGTACTTAGTAGTTGACAGTTTGATTTAATTAAGAAATTTTACAAATTTATTTCCATTTCAAACACAAATTGTTAGTATTTTTATTAAATTGTCAATGCAATAAAATTTATATATTTTTGGTACAGTAATAAACATTTAAGGACTTTTTTTTTCATTTATTGAACTAAAGTTGGTTTTATTATATTTTAATACAAAATAGTATGGAGATGTGGAATAATATTGAAATTTTAGTTAAAACTTTTATTTTATTTCAAGCAATACAAAGAAATATAACTGCTCCTTGAAGAATTAAAAAAAATAAACACCTAATTTACTTTACGCTTTTCAACAACAAAGTAGTTAATGTTATTTCGGATTATTTAATAAGGTAGCTGAATCTTCATTGTGCTACTCTACTCTACAAAAAAACTACGCCCTAAATTTTAAACTACAAAAAAAAGGATTGTCGGTTTGATTTTAATTCAAAATATTAATCGAATATAATATTACAAACAGGGGCATAAGTAATCTCTGAATTAAAAAAATACCATTCACTAGGTAATCACCGAAAATCGGTCTTAGTTGTGTGGGTTGAGAAGGGTCTATTTCCAACAGTGAACTGTCAGCAGATAATGAAATGTTCACATGTTCCAGAAAAAAACTTTACATAAAAATATTACATAAATACACTGATTTACACTACATAGAAATGAAAAGATTATGAAAACATCAAAGATCTAATGTTAAATGTGGTATGGTAACAAAACATAAACAACTCAATGTCCAAACACATTTAAAGCGTTTTTGGAACACAACACATAGACTGTTAAACATTTATTCATTAAATAGATATTTATGCAGGAATTAGAATTGAACTATCTCAATTTCAGCCAGCTATAAGATTTTGAAGCTCCGAACTCAATTCATTGGCGTCAATATTTATTTTGGAATTAACAGTTGGTGCCGGAGCACTGGACTCTCTGTTGCAGGCTTTTTTGTGCACAAACCAGTGCAATCTCTGACACTCCCTATCACAATATTGTACTGATTTACACTTGGAACATTTCTTTGCGGGCTTCTCTTCACCACAAGAACTGCAGTATGGTATGGCATCCAAAAACCCTCTCTGCCCATTAATGGTACAGTTTATAACTGACAAGGCTGTCGGTGGATCTTTACTTGTCAAGGCTGTGACCATTTGATGGAATGTTGTGCACTCCCTGAATGGGAATTCCCTCACACAGTCTTTAAGGAAGGAATCCATGAGGTCAAGGGAAACACCATCTTTACCTGGCTTCAAGAGTTTTTTAGCAAATATTTCAACAACATCATGCTTCTTTTCTTCCTTCTCTGATGGTTTCTGTTTATCTTTGATGTTGTGTATTTCTCGTAGGATATATGATAAATAATGGTACTTGAAAGCCATCACTTCATTGGTTTCACTGCCTCTTGTCATCTCGCGTTTGCTCAGCATTTCTAAAGTCTTGCTCGCTTTGTCAGCATTTTCTAACAAAGCAGGAGCATGTTGCAAATTCAAAGCTAATCTTACAGGATGAATATTTACTCCTAGTACAAATTTATGAACTGGATCTACTAAGATTGGAGGTAGATAAGGTTCTTGTTGGAGTCCTTGTGGGATAGAATAATATTCAATTTCACTACGAGGTATGTAGTTGTTGATAGTTGCAACTGTGTGATGATTTCCGACAAATGCCGCCATCTGCGCAGAGGTGCGCCCCACCGAATTTGTGGCTGTAGGTTTGGCCCCAGCATCGAGTAGCAGTTTGCATACTTCGGAGCTACCAGACAGAGCACCAAAGTGTAACGCTGTGTAGTTATACTCGTGCTTTCCAGAATTCACGTCCGCTCCCTGTGGTTGCATAAAATACGCATAAGTCAATATGGTTTTGATTGTGTGTACCCACGTCACTAGACAAAATAATAATTTGCTTACCCTATCGAGCAGTAATTGCACCATATCCTTGTTCCCTTTATAGGCCGCGTGTTGTAAAGCAGTCATACCATTTTCGTCAAAGAAATTTACGTCGCCTTTGTGTTGAGTCAAAATATTTGAAAATTCAGTCAAGTCTCCCTGAGCGATAGCATCAAATATAGTTTTTTCCGAAGACGTGCTTTCATCGTTTTTGGTCTCCATTATAATTATTTGGTTGTGATTTAAGAATTCAATCAGAGATAAACCACCAATAAACCTCACAACAGCAAAGTTTAAAACATTAACCTTGTGACTGACATTGACAGTTACAGTCTTAAAGTAATGATGACATTAGATAACTACTAGAAGTAGGTACCTATTCTATGTTGATTAATCGACTAAATTAAAAAAAATTGCGAATTGCATGAACTAGTTCGCGGTTTAAATCACGCTTAAAAAATGTTTTAAATTTTTCAATAAAAAATGTTCAGTCATCTTCAACTTATAGTTTGCTGTTTAAGTCCGATTATATGATTAAATAAATAAATACAATGGATAAAGGAGAAAAAAACGCATCTCAGTTAATATTACTGTTGGAGTTTGATTGTATAAGTAATGGCAGGCAGCGCTTGTCACATGTGAAGAAACAGTTTTCGAATATTGGAATGTTTATTTAAATTTTTAAAGCAGATGATTGTCTTCTCTTCAGTTATGGAAATGTACTTCTATTCTAGACACGGACAGTGAAACATCCTAGGGTTATAAAAACATAAAATATTGTAAATGTGTAATAGTGAACATAGTGTTTGTAATATATATTAACCATGAAGTCAGTGTTTTTAAAATAGCCCATCACCTTCAGAACCCAGTCCCCTCAAATAGAATCGTCCAACAGGTTATGTTGCAGGCTTTTAATGAGTAAATTGTAGTAATTATGAGAAAATGGATTTATCGGTAATTGACCAAACCAACTTGATATATCGGTTTTTGATAAACACTATAGGACAGTGCTGCCAAGTTGGATTGAAAAAAATACGGTGTTTCGGAAGTAAAATTACAGTATTCGTAGATCGGTAGATGAGAAGTACTTTTTCATAACTGAAGAGAAGACAATCATCTGTTTTAAACATTTAAATAAACATTCCAATATTCCTAAACTGTTACTTCACATGTGACAAGTGTTGCCTGCCATTATTTACATATTCAAACTCTAAGTGTTTCGGGTCCCCTTCACAGGTCTGGTGACCTGTCTGGGGACCGGCGAAGGGGGCCTAAGAAGACGACGTGCAAGCTGCTCTGCACGCATTTTACGCACAAGCATCCGGGTGATGGAGGGCCGGCTATCCTGGACTCACGCTGGTTCTGACCCAGCGGGGTATTCCATAGGATAACCCATTCTAACCGGCGCCATCTAGGCGGATTCGGGATAGCCTGCCGACCGAGAGGGCTGGTGATCGTGGCGCTGACGACCGCCGGTCTGGCGTCCCGGGAGAGATGTACTCCGCACTAAACGCTTCACTTTCCCCTCTTTGCCTTTTCATGAGTTCTGTCTCATGCAAGTTTTGGACGTTGTTTGTTGAGCGACAGGTTTTAGTCAGTTCAACTCCGACATGCCCCGCCCTCCATTCTCCCGTGGAGGGCGGAAGTCCAGCGATTTCCTCCTGACAAAAAAAACCGCCTTTTTCAGCCGTGAACCAGCAATGCGTTTTGCTTTTTTTTTAGGAACCTTAGAGGCTTTTCTAGTTTCACCAAGACAGGTGGGTGAGCACGGACTCTGCCAGATAGGTTTGAAGTTTGAAGTGTATGGAAGCCGTTGTAATGTAAAAGCTGAGAAACAGAAATCATGTCTCAAGCTCTGTGGCAGTATTTACGTGGTTGAGCTCTTCCAACACAAATAATAACCCAATGGAGTCAAAGATTGCAACTAATTAAGATTAGGAAATGATTTTAGTTACACTTTCTTTTGTTGTAAACTTTGTTTGTTTTGTTTTAAATGTTCATTCTTACGAACTGACTCCAATAGTTAAACCGTGCAAGAATAATATCATTAAATAAATAGAAAAAAGAAATAATGAAGTGAACATTTATTTTCTAAGCTAAGGTCAAAATAAAAGACCATTTAGTTTACCTACGTATATATTTGCTTGAAAAATGTCTAAACAGTCATTATGGCTGAAATGACTGACGACAGTAACACATTGATTTAATAATATTGTGTGAGAATATCGTTATATTTAAAGGTTAAAGACGTACATAAGTGAAAGGTTTTATAGAGTAACCATTAAATATTATTCTAGAATATATAAACGACGGCAAATAAGCTTTAATAGATGCTGGAAAACCAGATATAATTGCATAGATTTGCTCGTCGTGACGTCATGTACGATAACATGGAATGCTTTAATAAGATTACAATAAAATTCACAATTATTTTATAATATTATGTTTGATTATATACTTTGCTACATCTATCTTCAACTTCTATATTTCGCTACATAATAAGATGAAAGTCTACGATCTACTCTCTAAGTAATATATAGGTTATAAGACTTGTGGCGTGTGTGGAGCACAACTTCAATATTTGGAAGAACTTTGATATTATTCTTCAAAAATATATAATGTGTACAATTCGTCATTCCGCATTGCCCAAACAGAATGACGAATAGTAGAAATGAATTCAAAAAATGGAGCACCTATACCTACGCTAATATCATAAACGATTCAAAGAGATTTATATATTTCTAAATAGAGAGAAAGAGAGAAAATACGCTTATATGAAGTAACATGATTATAATGGGTATATGAACCACTTTGTATAATCTACGTCCGTTAAACATCTATCACTATTATTACTATTATCTACACAGCATTTCATTTTTGTTCTTAAACTCTAATATATTACCATTCAATAATAGGTAAGTTTTATTATAATAAAATTATAGCAGCTATTAGCATAATACGTAAGATAACCATATCAGAATAGAACTTGCATTTTCTACAACATCGAAGCGGTTTAACCATACTAAATTTTACTTTATCACTACGAAAAGGTTTTTGAATAGCATACGTTTTTTAACACCTTACATACAATAGCAAATACTTTTTAAATAGATCACTCTTCCATCAGCCCATGCTTTAGTGGCTCAAGTGTTTGAAGAAGCACTAGATTAAGTCGGTGGGGTGACAGATAAATTTGGTAAGTGTAAAATTAACAGACTCCCGCCAAAAAATAAGAACTATCAATCAGGATTTTAAATAGCGTTATTAAAATTTCTTTACAATTACTTTTCATTGTTCCTATTTCAACCATATTGCTTGTCTATGTAACACTAAATAACTACAGCTAATAATATCGACGGTTCCCTGAATTGCTTTAACTCGCTTTTACATGTGCGATAATACGCTTACACTCTACAAATACATAGTTATTTTTCAACTACATTACATAATATATTATCATCTACCCGATTAACATACAATGTTTTATAAAGAACGTCCCTTAGATATACTGGGAAATACTATTATGATTTTAAAATAACGAGATTTTTCTCGATTGAATACTGAATAAGATAATTATAATTTCGTAGCGTTTTCAATGATTAATATATTACTTAAGCCATTCAATATTATAATGTATGTATTTAATTAGTAAGTATCTAGTTAATGCCCAAGTAAAACATTTTTTTTAATACCATAGATTATTAAACGAGTAGGTACAATATTAATTTTAATGACCTAAAGTCCTACTGCAAATCTTTTCATCGAATACTTACTACATAAAAGCATAAAAAGCTTCGACCCTACTGATTGATAATAACTTGGAAGCGATTCGCAAGGCTTCTCGAGAATCTAGATTTTAGACGTAGTAGACGTCGAAGGAGAGCTGGGCTCAGACCAGCGCTGGAGATGAAGCGAGAGTTGGAGCCGAGGCTGCTGGAATATTTGCTCCGATCGGTTGCTGTGGAGTTGTGGGGGTTTGCACCGCTGACGTCAGCCGAACGCCGCCGCTCTCGGACACTATCATACCGTTGTGCACGGTTCCATTACGTTCGCTGTCTGCATAAGGGGTTGTTAAAACGCGAAGACGCTGAAATCGCATAATGAATGAATGATTTATATTATTTCAGACAGCAACAACAAGTCCATAATAATATGTGTACATAGTATCATTGAAACATACTTAAAAATAACCAAAACAAATCAAATAAAAAATACATTATTAAAAATAATTATTACATAGTTGAATACATTAAAATATTCCATCCAACTGATGCTTACTTTTAACCAAGCATTATTATTATTATTATTGTAGGATTTGTAAGAATGGAACGTATGGAAAGAGTGTGGAACGGAGCGTTAAGATGTGAGTGAGAGAAAAGGAAAAGAAAGGGAGAAGAGAATGACAGAAAAAACGAAGATGGCGAAGACGGTTGAAAAATGAGCAAGACATAATAAAAATGTTAATTATTAATTATTATTAAAATAGAAGATTTTGGGACGTGAATCATGGTACAATGGTTCAAGTACTGACAGTCATAACGGTCTACTAACGTAATGTTTATATTATATTTTTGAAGTATCAAAATAATCACAGGTATTAAATTTAAACAAACTCACCTCCAAAAACGATCCTTTAGTTGTAATCAGTTTATAGATAGCCACTGTCGGTATGCACATGACGCTGGATCCAGCAATGGCCCAGCCAAGTGCGTTGGCCCAGCCTGGATAGATGTAGTTCTCGTATTGCAGAGGTTCGTAGTCTAAGAGTCCGTATGCCGTGATGAAGAGCAAAAAAGATGGTGCCGCGAAACGCCAACAAACGCGCCAGTACAGGCCAGGTCTGAAGCCGATCATGTCGCGAATGTCCTCACAAAATCTTTCCGTGCCTGTTACGAAAAATACATTTGTTTACCGTAAATTTACTGGTGGTAGGACCTCTTGTGAGTCCGCACGAGTAGGTACCACCACTCTGCCTATTTCTGCCGTAAAGCAGTAATGCGTTTCGGTTTGAAGGGTGGGGCAGCCGTTGTAACTATACTTGAGACCTTAGAACTTATATCTCAAGGTGGGTGGCGCATTTACGTCGTAGATGTCTATAGGCTCCAGTAACCACTTAACACCAGGTAGGCTGAGCTCGTCCAACCACCAAAGCAATAAAAAAAATATATTAAGACAGTCATGTAACCGAAAAAAAATTGATACTAACCATAAATCCAGGAGACAGCTATGGCCTCAAAGAAAACAGCGATGAGAATAGAATAGCCCGCAGCATAGCGATCCAAGAGCTGGAAGAAGTAAAATCCGCCTTTCGTGCAAGAGGCCAGTCCCACGAAGAAATACAACGTAAAGAGGCAGGCGACGAACAATTCGCGATGACGTCCGATAGGAGGGAACTCGTCACTGAGAGCTGTGATTATCGCTTCGGAACCCCCAAACTGGAAACGCAATTACATAATCAAACGATAAACATATGTTATAAAAACAGTAAAGCATCTCTGGCACAAAATAATTCATAGTTAATTCAAATTGAGGAGTATCGGAACAAAAACCGATAAATCACATTTCATGTTCTTTTTTTTATTAGTCCAAATTATTAATAATACTGAGGTATACTAATTTCAATACGAACGAAGTCAACCGGCTGTTAGTGTTGGCAACACAATAATTACGATTAAATTACGGATTTATGTGTGCTGTGGATTTAGTGGCTTAAGTTCAGATCAATGTGTTTGGAAAAGTTTTTTAGAGGACAGTTTTTTTTATTGAATTAAAGATGGCGATAGAAATATACGAAAGTCACCGATTGCTAACATTAAAAAACATTCTAATTGGAATTTTACGGTTTTTGTTTTGACGCTCCTTAATTCAAATCATTTGTTTGAACTTAAATTTCATCACTTGTTGAATGTCAAAGCACGCTAATTCTAATACCAGATCCAAAAAAGGCACAGATTTGAAAATAACCGGCGAAACACAAACCTTTGGGCCTATTTGATTATTTTAGCCTATACGTACTTACTAAGCTTACTCAAATCACGTCACCCAATGACATATCACGTATGCGATTTACAAAATAATTACATTAATACCAGACCAGTCTCAATCCTAGTACCTCTCGTAATGTTTTTATTTTATTTTTATGGCATAGATAGTTGGACGAGCTTACAGCCCACCTAGTGTTAAGTGGTTACTGGAGCCCATAGACATCTACAACGTAATGCCGCCACCCACCTTGAGATATGAGTTCTAAGCTCTCAGTATAGTTACAACAGCCGCCCAACCCTTCAAACCGAAACGCATTACTGCTTCACGGCAGAAATAAGCAGGGCGGTGGTACCTACCCATGCGGACTCACAAGACGTCCTAGTAACAGTATGAAAACGCCCAATACCGCTGGTCCTTTTATTTCTCGAAAACCCTTTGAGTTTGAAAAAATAACTTACAGAACTATCAAGCCCAAGTGTAAGCAGCATCATGAAGAATATAAGCGCCCAAAACGTTGATCCTGGCATCGTAGCTATAGCCGCCGGGTACACCACGAAAACTAGTCCCGGGCCCTCGGTTGCGACGTCCTGAACGTCTCTGCCCGAAGCGTGCGCCATGTAGCCGAGCACGCTGAAGATCACGAAACCAGCGACGAAAGACGTTGCTGAATTTATGACGCTGGTCAAAATGGCGTCCCTGTAAAAGATGGCGGATGTTAACAGAAATGGCGATACTTTAAGACAATTTTTTTTTTGTACGGAAACTAGCGACCTCTTGTTGCGGATACCCCTAAACTTATATGTTGTTAAAGTTAAAACGTTTCATTATTTTTTAATTAGCTAAGCACAGAAAATAAAAAAAATATTAATCATACTAGTTTTTATTTTTTATAGACATATTGATTAAATTTTATCAATTTGTGGTTTCTGAAAATTTACAAAATCCTTCATTAACAATAAAATATACGTTAGGTAATACTGCCATTACTTTTAATTACTGCCATCTACAGGAGCAATGAGAAACTAATCGAAGCGAAGCCATCTAGTGGCTGACGCCCGTAAACATTTTTCTGAGTTCTTGAGTTGCCCATCTATAACTAATTTAAGTGTATTATCTATGGATGTTAATGTTAAAATCAATAATACAGTATTACAAATTGTAATTTTTCCCCACCTTTATTTTATGTTCATCACAAGTTCACATTATAACTTCCATAATTTCTATATTTTTATTCTCTACTAATGAAAGTTTTAATATGTCTATTCATATTGACTTAATTACATAAGAATAATTTTCGACAAATAAAAAAAAAATCCCTTATTTGTCCCGCCTAATCAGAACTTAGTACTAATTTAAAACCAAAATCTATATAGATGCATATATTTATTGATGACTGCATCTATTGTTACATCAGGGTTTCATCTTTTTACTGTCGGTTTTCTACCTCGACACAATTAAGTTTAGTTTAAAAGGCAAGAGGGATGTTATTCCAAAAAAATTAGAACTTTAAATTGGGCCTTGGTATTTAATTTTTTTATTGCATAAATAGGTGGACGAGCTCACAGCCCACCTGGTGTTAAGTGGTCACTGGAGCCCATAGACATCTACAACTTAAATGCGCCACCCACCTTGAGATATAAGGTCTCAGTATAGTTACAACGGCTACCCCACCCTTCAAACCGAAACGCATCGCTGCTTCACGCCAGAAATAGGCAGGGCGGTGGTACCTACCCATGCAGACTCACAAAACGTTCTACCACCAGTAAAATTTCTGCGTACAGTCGATAACAGCTTCATAAATATGATTTCATCACATTTCTGACCGATTTTGTCAATAAAACCAATAGCCTTCCATTGGGGTTAATTACGTACTTATACACGTTGTTGTGGTACTTGTTGTACGATGCATAAGCCAAGAGCACTCCAAAGCCCGGTCCAAGAGAAAAGAAGACTTGAGTAGCGGCGTCCACCCACACCTTAAATATACAAATATTGTTATATAAACTGTGGCTTTAGCTGCAGATCAGAAGACCGGTAAGGCATTGTATTATGATTGGCTCATTGAGATCCATTTTGTATTTAAGTACCTATATTTATTTTTTTTGGTCAGGATGAAATCGCCGGACTTCCGCCCTTTTCTGGGGATACTGGGCGGGGTATGTCAGAGTCGAACTGACTAAAACCTCCTGTCGCTCAACAACCAACGTCCAAACCTCGCATGAGACAGAACTCATGACAAGGCAAAGGGGGGAAAGTGAAGCGTTTAGTGCGGAGCACATCTCTCCCATCACCCTCNACTGGGCGGGGTATGTCAGAGTCGAACTGACTAAAACCTCCTGTCGCTCAACAACCAACGTCCAAACCTCGCATGAGACAGAACTCATGACAAGGCAAAGGGGGGAAAGTGAAGCGTTTAGTGCGGAGCACATCTCTCCCATCACCCTCCCCCTCGGGACGCCGGACTGGCGGTCGTCGGCGCCACGACCACCAGCCCTCTCGGTCGACCAGCCCTCTCGGTCGAAGTACCTATATAACCGAAATTTTATCACGAAAAACGTCAACAAATTAGTACATTCCGGGCATAAAAGCTAACCAGCACATGACGTCATCATTTGGGTACTTTGATGAAGGTACTCGACGCACTCTAGTCATGTGCCGTTATCGAAAAAAACACTACTTAATCTTTTTTTAAATGATAATAAATTTCCCGAAGATAGGTAACGAGAATGCGACACTGGTAACATTAAGTTTCTGCTGCGTCCTGTATCATTCTTCTGTCCTGTAGATGCGAAGCACTGCTCTTGACTAGGGCCAGTGTTGGCACACTCTCTCAGGTAAAGCCCAGGAGTTCATCTACCAGACATAATGCAGCCTGTATAGTTCCTTAGGCTACCAGAGAACAGATAGGAAAAAAGAAGTCCACGTAGATTTTCCTATGTAGCACTTATTCATAAACCTGTTGGTTTGAATTGTTTCTGTTGCGAATTTACCTGCCCATTTAACAGCTAGCCACTGTACCAATGCAATTGTAAGTTATAATGATTTAATTTTATTGATTGTCAATGATTTGAGAGGCCCCGTGTGGGTTAACATACAAACAATAGTATGGTTAGATTTGACTTTTGCCATTCACGAACTTGGCTGTCGTATATCTTTCAACGTATCCACATTACATATTATTCATGTATTCGCGCTTCTTCTTCCTATTCGTACACTCTTGACAGAGTGGTCGTGGTCATGCATCAGTCGGATACGACCTGCTCATGACTCTCGTGGGAAATTAGTACAGTGGTTTCCCGTTGCCTTCTGCACCAGCATTTTAGGGGGTATTTGATCCCCAAGGTTTCTGACGCCTCTTCCGTACAGGTTGTCCTGACGGGTGTGTATGGTTATACCGCCATTGCTCGGTCGCCATTGCCCCGTTCGTTCTCTAGCAGGGAGCACCACGTCAACCTGTTGGTCGCCGCCGCCATCCGGCGCGTGCAGGTGGGGTTGACAATAGGGCCGGTGAAGGTAGCATTCCGATCTCCCCTTACTCCCGTAGTAGTACCGATTTAAGTTTATGCCTATATTTGAATTCTGATACTACTCGCATCACACGATTCGAGATAACGTTTAAGCTACAAACGATTCGGATCACGGGCGGTGTCTGTGTGGTGCTAATGAAGGACAAGTTAATGATCATGGTAATACACATGTTAATCCTAGAAGACGTGGTGATCGAACGCGTAACAAAATAATAATAGTTTTATTCACACGATGACATATATCAGATATCATCAATCGAATAAAAAAAAACCTCGAATCTAATACATGCTTACCTGAGGTTGAGTTATAGCTTCAAAGTTCGGACTCAGGTAGTATTGGATTCCGGTCGCCGATCCAGGGAGGGTGATACCACGAACCAAGAGTATCAAAAGAACAGCGTACGGAAAGAGTGCTGTGAACCAAACAACCTGAAACGCAATTATAAGTTTCCTTAATAGAACATAATAGTTTCATTAGCACATCACAATGGTCACACTTAACACGGTAGCGAAATTATAACACATAATTAAGTTAATGTGACGAACTAAAAATAGGGAATAACGATACATAGGAAATTTGGAATGTGATTGATGATTACTTTTCCAGAAGTGCTGATTCCCTTCCACAAGGAGAAGTAGCAGATGATGTAGACGGCCAGTAAACACAGCGCCATATCCCATTTTACAGAACCAAGGTCGTGCAGCCCTTCGCTGCCTTGCAGTTCTAAAATCGCGCGGCTACAACAGAAATATTCATTAAATTGCTTTTTTTTTTTCGTCGTTAAGAAAGATAATAGTTACAGATTAACAAAAGAACACAATTTTATAGCTAAGCGGGACCACAAGAAAATCCTGTTAATTAAACCAAGTCTCTCAAAAACCATTAGCACAATTATTCCAAGCAAAGTAACTAGCATCAGTAGTTGAATGTTAAGAGAATGGTAAGTAACAAAAACATTCCAGGTAAAATGAATCGGATTACAATGTTTTTCAATAGCAGAATGATTCTTTAAATAAACAAATTTCAACATAATACAAATTTCTTCAAAAATGTTTTTTTGTTAAAAACTCACTTGAAATATTCCGAAGCAGCAGAAGTGTACGGTGTTGTCGGAGCGATTCCCAAACTTGCGGACGTGGTATTGCGTATACGTGTACGATTAACGTCCCAAATCGCTTCGAACTACAGACAGATCCGCCAGTTAAAACATAATTATTCTTAACACGTCAAACGCGAGACTAGAAACCATGTTTAGCCCAGTGGATCGCGGCTAAAAACCTGTGACCGCCAATAAGTTGAGTCTAGGGGGCAACGGCGGACAAAATGTGTCTGCCATTTGACATATCTCGGAAAATAAGGAGTAGTCACTGTTTCCATAAGTCGCCCATGTTGTTTGAATTATGTCTTGACATTATTTGCGAAAAAACACCTCAAATATTTTTGAAACATGCTTGATATTGGTACGGCCCTAGTGGAAAGTGTGCCGTGGACACGTGGTGTCCGTCATGGCGTTCAATGTGTTATGATATTACTATAGAATTTAAAATGCTTTATGACCTTTAAATTATTGGTAGACCCGATCAAATCTATTAATATCCCACTATTTATTCACATTAATCAAATATTACTTGTATCATTGATGTAAAGCAGTCATTTTAATTAAAAATATTGCTTTAGCTCGATGCGAGTAGCGACTTTTGCGGCCTACTTGATATTGAGTTACTGGAGTCTAAACAAAGTCAACCATCCTGAGACATTAGGTCGATGTTATTCCTTCATTTCGAAAGTCGTCCGTGAACAGATGTCAATATTTCCATAGAAATTACTATATTCTTACTAACTTATAGTATCTAAAAATTTTGCATAGCTTAGACAAGTGCCTTTTTTATTGCTTAGGTGGGTGGACGAGCTCACAACCCGCCTGGTATTAAGTGGCTACCGGAGCCCATAGACATCTATAACGTAAATGCCACCACCCACCTTGAGATAAGTTATAAGGTCTCAAATATAGTTACAACGACTGCCTCACCCTTCAAACTGAAACGCATTACTGCTTCACGGCAGAAATAGGCAGTGTGTTGCTACCTACGCGTGCAGGCCTAAAAAACACCCAGCTACCAGTCAAACCCTAATTCCTGAAAGAAAATTTCTTATTTATACGCAATTTCTCACCGGTCGGCAGGCAGGTGTGTTCCATTCGTTGTCGCAGTTGGTCCAAGGTAGCATGGTCGTGAAAGAGGCGAAGAAGAAACGCAGCGCCCAAGCGATTATCACGTTGTAGTAAAAGTCCACGTAGAACGCAATCAGGACGACAGCATAACCGATTCCTATACACCAAACGGTTTTTAAATTAGTTAAAACTAGCGACCCGCCCTCGCTTCGCTTCGGAAACTGTAATTTATTATTGATTTCTCCACTATTTAATTGATGTTATTATACATATAAACCTTCCTTTTCAATCACTCTATCTATTAAAAAAAACCGCATCAAAATCCGTTGCGTAGTTTTAAAGATTTAAGCATACATAAGGACAGACAGATATAGGGACAGAGAAAGCGACTTTGTTTTATACTATGTAGTGATGATGCATAAGATAAGTGACAGTACTGCGTGGCTAATTAAAAATGCTAGTTTGATAAAAATCGTCTCCTTTCAAAGTAATTCCTTGTGTTTCTCAACGAACTGTTTTTCTAATGTTTGTCTAAACGGTGTAGTGGCTTCCAGAGCGCACAAACATCACAATCTGAACATTGTTGTCCACCTTGAGACATGAACTCAAAGGTTCAACTGTATTGCACAACGGATATCCTACCCTTCAAACTGGAACGCATGATTGCTCCGCGACAGAAACATGCAGGATGATGTCACCCACATATGGGGGATGACAATACAGCGGTAGAGATCACTAACAAATGCTGGGAGGCCACCGCAGTACGCTGGTAAATACTCAGAGAAAGCTGCTACCCGTTATCCAGTAATCACATTAGTCACCTTCGACAACACCATATGCCATTGGATTTCAGTACAAATTAGATTATCTCTATTTATTCATTACTAGCTGACCCGGCAGACTTCGTTGTGCCTCAGTCGATAAATAAAAGACCTAAACATTTGTGTAAAATAAACTTAAAAGAAACAAAAGGAATCCGTCCGACGGAGGACACATCAAAGGAAAAACAAAATTGTTATTTTTATTTAATTCCGATCATTTTCATATTTATCTTTACCTTTTAAACCTTTTCTGGACTTCCCCAAATAATTCAAGACCAAAATTAGCTAAATCGGTCCAGCCGTTCTCGAGTTTTAGCGAGACTAACGAACAGCAATTCATTTTTATATATATAGAAGAAGAAGATAGAAGATAGAAGATGATCACTTCCTATGACAGTTTTTCTTTGTCCTTCGTCTGATTGGCACCAAATGTTAACACTCTCTATTTTGATTCCATAAAAACTACCATTTTATAGAATATGAATTGGCAAATCAAAATAATAGAAAACGCTATATCATCGTCTCCTAATACAAAATCTCTCCAGTTTCTCTCACAGATTTTCTAAGAAATAATTTTTANATAGAAGATGATCACTTCCTATGACAGTTTTTCTTTGTCCTTCGTCTGATTGGCACCAAATGTTAACACTCTCTATTTTGATTCCATAAAAACTACCATTTTATAGAATATGAATTGGCAAATCAAAATAATAGAAAACGCTATATCATCGTCTCCTAATACAAAATCTCTCCAGTTTCTCTCACAGATTTTCTAAGAAATAATTTTTAACTACATAAAGTTAATATTTCTAGGATCGAAGCACTCTTGAAATATCGGACCAAATCAACCTAAGTCGTAAGTCCATTACAACGAAAAAATCGCACTCAATCCCTCTAGGCACCTTTCCACTCCATTACGTATTTTATTTCTACTGGAAAATCAGGGGCACTCAGCGTCGCGACGTGACAATCGAGTGAAATGAAATCAACGAGCATAAGCCTCGGGAATCAGGCGGATCCTTTTGAAAGCGTATGGAGCACTTAAGGGGGCCGGAATGGTGTCAATTAGGGAGCTAAGTGAAGCGGCCGCAATTGCGACTTGTAGTTTACATAAAAAAATCGTATAACTTGATTTTTTTGTTGTTACAATTTTACTTTTTTCTGTTCGGTCTATCTGGTGTTTATTAAAGAAAAAACTAATGTATGATAAAGTACTAAACAAACAAACTTAGAGTGTAACTATCTCAGTTTATAAAACTTAAATATCAGCACGTCACATTCTGTAGAGCGTACTTAACTTTAGAAAACAAAAACGTAACTCCGATTGTCTGAAATGTAAGTGGTCCGATGCCATAATTCAGGATCTAGAGGCATTCCCCACTTAACACCGCCATTCTGCGGTAAGTATGACTCGCTTGAACTCATAAATCTTTAATGTTCGTTGGGCACGTGATACACTATTTCAATTTCAGAAATGAAATATTTATTCGAAAAGCGTGACCAGAACCTTTTGTTTGCTTAAAAAATAATTCTTTAATAATTTGGCACACAATATAGACAATCTATTATTTTAGATTCTAGATTTATCAGCATCAAGCTGAAATTTTATTGAAGTGAAACTTCTTTATCGGCGTTGGAAAAAAATTTACCGTCACATTTTTCGGTTACGCGTCACATTTTTCCGTTACGCGCCATCTTTTTTGTATTCATGTCTATGATAATAAAATCCTTTTGTTTAAACTTTATCTAATTTAACTTTTTTGTATTCATGTCTATGATAATAAAATCCTTTTGTTTAAACTTTATCTAATTTAACTTTTTTGTATTCATGTCTATGATAATAAAATCCTTTTGTTTAAACTTTATCTAATTTAACTTTATTTAACCAATTTCTAGAAAGTTGCATGTAGATCATTTTTCGAAAAATAAGGCCATAAAGAAGTTTCACTTCTTACGTGTGTACACTAGTACACGCACACATTTTTTTTTTTTATGCTATGGCTCTCACAACACTCTCTTTAAGCCAAGCTGCGTATTGTAAATAAATTTGACAAAGATTAGCTTCGATCGGAAATCGAACCTGCTACTCTTGATGCACTAATCAGAGCTGTTAACCATTGAAGCAGCGAGATATTTAAGTTCAAACTATTTAAAATAAATTACTTTAGAAAAATATTCAGTAAGCACATTACACGTACATTTCTCTGTTTTTCACATCACATGTAAGATAATACAGCTTTCGCTGGCTCTGTTTAAAGGCCAGTTTACAAATATCACGAAGGTAGCTTATATCTAGTTCGCCATTAAAAACAAATTTATATGACATGAGAGACGACTTTGAAGTTTACCTTTGAAAAGCGGGACAAGCCTGCCCCAGCAGGTGATGGCACCCTTCCTGTGAAATTGTCCCAGCGCCAACTCCATGTAGAAAAGTGGAATTCCACCCACTACCAGCATGATGCAGTATGGCACCAAAAACGCACCTGTTTCATAATGGTCTGATTAGTAACGTAACACCATTTAGATGTGAACATAACAATTTCCAGTTCCAGGCCAGACGGAATTTCGGCCGGATTATACGGACAATTATGTATCCACAACATTGCATTAAATTTGCTCGGATGTAAGCGCAATATTGAAATTCCTAAAATAGCTTTCTTCCGAACTAAAAACGAATGAAGTAAAAGAAACAACAAAGGAAGAAAAAGTACCTCCCTGTGGCAAGTTGTATTGAAGATATAATTCAAGGAGGGTTGACGTAGAACACATGTTAAATGCTTATGCAACGTGATAAGAGGACACGCTGTACTGATCTCACATAATGTGAGATAAGGGCAGAGAAGAAAAAGCTTCCTTCCGTTTTGAATGTGATTACTGACAATGCGTTGATGACTCCGGTCACCGTCCTCGTCAAACCCGTCGCTTGCAACGAAGGGCTCGACGAGCAAATTAACCGATAGATACAGCCCACGTTTCCGATCCGGTGGTAAATTCTGCGAAGCACGGCTCTTGCTAGGGTTCGTGTTAGCAACACTTCCGGTTTGAGCCCCGTGCGCTCACCTACACGTCAAGGTGAAGCTGAAATTGCCTCTCAAGGCTATCAGCAAAGGTAGGGAAAATAAAAAAACGTTGATGAAAAATTACTTACTTTCGTCTTACGAATAAAAAAAATTCTTCAATGATTCTTTCGAAGAACTTCAACGACAATAAACAATTTTCGATAACAATTTTTCGATCAGCTCCCCGGGGAGGTACCAAGCTATCATGCAGACTAATTTGCCAATAATTTTAAATCTCAGGCGGCAAAGCAGAACTGGGCGATGCAAATTGTGCGATAATTGCCCTTTAAGACTCTCGGTATTAACTTTCAATGGCCTTTTAGCAAAGTTGAGACGATTCTACGCAATTTACAGTAAAATACCAGCCACAGAGTATAATTAAGCTTACAGACACTTAAACAACAGTAACGGCATTGTCTTGACATAGTCATAAATGATGTTCCACGATAATTATATTGTAGTAAAAGTTGTTTATTATATCGACTCTATTTTCATACTTGTTAGATTTTTCGGAGGTGTAAGCTGTGTATGCCTAATATGCCATTAAATTAGAGCAAAGTTATAAAATAATTGTCGTCGGTTTTTGACGCGTGTTCAAATTTTCTAGTTATTTGGACGTCTTGAAAAAGTAGAAATTGAAATTCAAAGATTACGTTCAAAGTTATATGTACATACATACACGCCAAGCTAACAAAAGCGTGCTAATTATGTAGGCCATCCTGCATATTCCCGCGGCGAAGCACAACGTAAATTCCACCACCCACAGTGAGAGATTAGATTATTTCAATTGTGCACTATAGTCACTGACTCACCCTTGAAACCAGAATATCGGAACGCTTCGTGCGAGAAATTGCTTGTATGCATGCAAAATACCTTAAATGCGTATTTAAGATATGAACTGAGGAGTTAGGTAGGACCGCTACTACGGTCGGATAAAAGTATCTAATGGTGACTGGGCATATTTTACCTGTGATGGGCGAGCCATTTAATTCCTCAAATCTGTTGCTTTATATTACGGGTTTCAGACGATTAAGAAAATTATCAAGACGACAACATATTTAGGTTTATTGGAGCTTAGTGTGGCCAATCCATTGAATTTAGGACAGTAGTGCATATACATATACATCCTACGATAAAGTAAAACAATAATAGTCGTTGTGAAATTTTATATTAGGCATATAGGTGTAATATATTTAAAGATGTATTATTTGTATGCAAAGTTGATTAAATGTGCATCCTTTGTAACTATAACTCTAAAAATCTAGTGAAGAGTTGAGAGTTGAGAGAGAGTTGAGAAATGCACACCAATTGTTGTTAATAGCTTTGAAATTTGTCCATATCCATCTCAGCTTCGGTGGACTTCAATGTGCGTGGGCCGATACGCATCAGACCAGTACGTTATTGCTATTTTTAAGATTTCATACGAATTAAGGACTTAACTGCAACGGGCATTCCAGATCTAAGAACCAACTTAAATAATTGAATGATTGAGAACATCCGCCAGATAGTGTAGAAAGCATACTCGTATGTAGGTATGAGTCTATCTTAAAGTATAAATTAAAATTAACTGTATTTAAACCGCTCCTAACAACGAATACCGTTTGATTTGATAGACCTGTATTGATATATGATTTGTAAAAATTAAAAATGATGTGTGGTGTCGTGGGACACCGGATAGGAACGAAGTTCCTTATTATAAAAATATTAATTTTAAGTTCTATTCGAGGTATAAAAAAAATAAAACTGGAGATTTTGCAACAAGCCATGGTCATTCGGTAACGTGCGAACTTATTGTGGTAGAATTCATTCACGGTTGTTTGCTTAAGAGTAAGTGTATTGCGCAAACGGACGCTCTGAGATCGTGGTCAATCTATCTATCTATCTATATATAAATGAATTGCTCGTTAGTTTAGAAGGTTTAAAAGGTAGATAAATATGAAAATGCTCGGAATTAAATAAAAATAACAATTTTATTTTTCTTTCATGTGTCCCCCGTCGGATGGATTCTTTTTGTTTGTTTTAAGTTTATTTTATACAAAAGCTTAGGTATTTTATTTGTCGATTGAGGCACTACGAAGTCTGCCGGGTCAGCTAGTGAATGATAAAAAAATATGTTATTTTTTGTCCGTTATTAAAAAGTTAAGTCGTACACTGTGTGCATTACTAATAAAAATCTTACGTTACGGACGTTTTTCCTGGTTAGAGTACCCCTCCGCATAGTCCCGCATAAGGAACTTCGTTCCAAAAATATCTGAAATTAGTCACAAACGAATATTTAGTATAATTATTTATTTTTGTATTGTACGTAATGTAGGACACAAATCAGCAGACTTGAAAGTATCTATGATATACAATTTTATTGTAATTGAAAACGTAAATGTCGCCACGTTGTTAATATAAGGTACAGCTTAAGGTCGATCTTCTCAACTGGAATCTGGAACTGGACTTCTCAGATGGAATAATGGCTATCCTAACTTTAAAATAGAACGCATTCTGGCGATGTCATTCAATTCGCAAAGGGATGCCAAGAGCGGGGATTTATTTTATTGCTTCATGCAACAGGTCAGGGATAAAGTGGATTTGCAAGGAGTTCCAAGATGCCGGGGAACGCTCTATTCTGTACCTTTCATTGGAATAATGGACCTTTTTAGCTTGTGGATTTTGTTATGGAGCGAAAATAGTATGTAATTTATTGAACGGTATTAAAATAATATATTATGATTTTTTTTAAGATACCTCTTTTATAATTAAAACAGTTTTTACGTTTTATTGTCAAGTTTTTAATTGTTATTATAATACTTTATTACCGATATCGACAGTCCTCCGTGACCATGAATTTTTATTAATAAACTGATGTAAATCTATACTAATATTATAAAGCTGAAGAGTTTGTTTGTTTGAACGCGCTAATCTCAGGAACTACTGGTCCGATTTGAAAAATTATTTCAGTGTTAGATAGCCCATTTATAGAGGAAGGAAGGAATATCACGTTAAGATAAGAGCAAGAATAAAAAATGTTTCAAAATCGGGGTTTTTTTCCCTTTTGAGAGCTGCTGCTGCGTGCGCTACAGAAACGGTTAAAGTTTCGCTAAAATAAAATTTAGCGTTATGCCAAAGTAACTATTCCACGCGGATGAAGTCGCGGGCAAAAGCTAGTATTTGAATATATTTTAAAAGTGCATTAGCTTATTCGTTCATGAGGATTTAGCTTGCACTACCGAACAAACAAAGACGATGATTGTGTTGCGTTCATTTCATTATTTCTTTAATTTTTAAAATGAGCATTTATTTTTAATATTACAATTGTGGCTTTAATTTTATACAACACCGTACGCTCGTGCTAGATACTTCAGGGAATGTATCTGGCATAGCACTATTAAGAAAAGTAAATCGGCACGCGAGTGTTTAAAAAAATTATGATTCGTCATACAAAATCATGACTAGTTTGGCTACATCAACATTTAAGTATATTATTTTATAAAAAATAAATTATTATATTATGTGAATTATTTCAGAACCGTTCTTAGTTCATCATTATAAAATAAAATAAAAATATTAGAAAATAAAAAAAACACCTTATAGTCAGAATGTAAATCGAATTTTCTCCTCTTTGGCGCTAATTAAATAAAATCGTACTAAAGGTACCGTAGGGAGGGAAGCTTAGAGATATTTAATTTAAATTTATTTCGCGATACTGGACTAGGCGAAATCGAATAGACTATTCCCGATGGGAGCCCGGCGGAATCCGGGATGATTGGGTATTACAAGATTACGTTGTGAGACACGTATTAAATCATCGAGGAATTGATATTTATCGAAATTGATCGAGATGATTCATTGATACGACGCAATTTCTAATATCTGGTTTTGCTTGTGTATTTGTTTTGATTTTGTCGTCGTATAGATTGACAGGTGATCTCACGGCGCGCACCTAATACCAGGTTGTTATACCATAATTAAATCACTGCCGTTTTAGGTCAGATTTTTTTGTCGTAACTTAATTGGTTCGTTGTGACAGTACTATATACTCTAAAACTCTCCAGAAGTCAAGATATGAATTTAAGAGCAGAACAGAAGCATACAATATTAAAGACAGATGTTGCGGAAACAATTCGCGGCATCAGATTGGCTTTTCGTTAATTGTAGGTGTAGTAAGAAGATGAAGAGCGCCGGTTTAGTGACGTATATTCGGAGAGGCTATAATGTCCAACAAAGGATAAATGTTCATTGAAGACGATAGTAATGCAATAATTTTGAAATGTTTGATGAAGGAATTTTACGGTTTAATAAGTGCGAGATTGAACCGTAAAAATAGTTTTAATTAGCTACGACACGAGAAAACTGAAGAAAATAACTAAACGGTAATTTCAAATTGAAATTGACTTAAAAATTGTTTGTTTAAAAATTAAAAGCCTTTTTTAAAA